GTGCTGCTCACTTATTAACAATGAAACACCAAAGCAAAAGCATCCTGCTTTAAAACCATGCACTTTAGAATCAAGCCAAATCCATTTCAAAAAGTGAATGAACTTAGTGCCAAGGTGGTCACTATATCACCATCAAGCTACCCATCAGTGACAAACTTGAGCTGAAAAACAAAATGTCTCATTTGTGTGCTGAAATTAACTTCCTTACATGACCTGGAAGAAAGCCACTCTCCTATAAAAATGCTCTGGAGTGCAGGAATATATAACGTTCCACTTTTAGGGTGAGGACACCCCAAGTAGTAAAAAGTTTTTATTAATTCGGAAAGTAACAAACTACATGGAAGAAACACAAATACCTTTGGCACACTCTCACACAAAACATATGGCTGCTTTCAACCTCGCTTATTCACCTAGAAACGGACACACTATCAAACACCCCCATTATCTGGAATTCACTTGAATATGCACACAACAGATTTGTTAGCAAAAACCACCATCACCCCATCCGGCTTACGCTGGTATTTTCGGTTTATAGGCGAGTCCTGGAGCAACTAAAACCAGGAAACTCCAGGGTACTCAGAAAACTTAGGGGAAGTCACCTTCGGAGAGGTCTAAGACCCAGAGAAACAAAAGTGAGCCAGGAAGATCTCTCTTGGCCAACTCTTCTTTACAACCATCAAAACTTCACCCACACCGGACTTGTAAGTCCAAGTGGGGGAGGCCATTTTAATGAGGCCTGTCTGAGGAACGTGAAGAGAGAGGAAGAGAGAAAAATCAGGGTAGGACGTTCGGAAAGGAACGCCAAGTACTTCCCCCAACAGCATCCAAGTCGGGTGGCAGCACCAAGAGCCCAAAAAGTGAGGAGCTGTATTTAAGGGCTCGACAGGGTTACGAAAGTAGCAGTGGCTTTCTCCAGAGAGGGGGCCGAGTGATCTGAGCCGTGGGAACCAGGCTCCTTACCCCCAAGGGGGGGAAGGACTTCTTTCCCCCCCCCCCGCGCCG